ACGCATATATGTATATGCGTTTAGGCCCCTGCAGCTTTGGCGTGCGGCCTCGCACGCCAAACACCTTTGGCGTGCAGGCCTGCACGCCAACCTGCAGGGTATATCCCTGCAGGTCATTGGCGTGCGGCCCCGCATGCCAATTTTCGTTGGCGTGAAGGCACGCACGCCAATCCGCACCTGGCGTGCGGTTTGGCGTGCGCCAGGGGGGCTGGCGTGCGTTTATCAACGCCCCTGACCTGTACATGTGGTTGGGAGAGATGGAATTCCAATTTGGTTGGTATTTCACAAGGTATGGTGAAATGTTACAAAGTCAATGAAGGAGAAGAGTAGTGTAAAACTGGTCAGTGGTGACCATGGTTGAAATTGAATGAGGAGTTCATTTCTGAAGTCAGAATGTAATAAAATCTTAAGCTAAATAAGTTACAGTAGGAACATGGATGAAAAGGGGGGACTTAGGCAGTCTTTTGGACAGCTTGGCTGGCTCTAACACTACAAGCAATACCCATTTTTCCCCAAAAATAAATGGCAATTTGGGTGGGGGAAAATGGATCAATCTTCTGGCACTTTTTTCCAAAATGCCTCAGGAGTAGAAATTAGGCTAAACTGAGCTATTTTAGCCCAGAGATAGAAATTCATCAAACATTCCAAAATGAATTTTTAGCTCATTTGAGACATTTTTATTTTTTGGCTAAAATAGCTCATTTTAGCCTAATTTTTTACTCCTGAGGCATCTTGTAAAAAAAGTGCCAGAAAATTGATCTATTTTCCACCATCCAAATTGCCATTTTTCCTTGGGGCAAAATCAGTATTGTTTGTAGTGTAAGGCTGACAGGTACAAAACCCCTCAATGAATGGTACTAAATGACCGTACCGGTCATTGAGGGAGGTTCTGTTATTTTCACAATGACTGATTGTTGCCGGTCATTAAGGAGGGTGTGCTCGGCTCAATGAACATTGGCAGCACCAACCAGTCATTTAGGAGGGTATATACTCTTCTCAATGAATGGTTGTCATGACTGGTCATTGAGGATGATGTATGTGCTCTCCCCGATGACCAGTTGGTGTCATGGAGGAGGGTGATGTTTGCAATGTGTTCTTATAGCTAATTACCAGATACCAGTTGGGCACAAAGGTGGAGTAGCCCTTGGTAAGATTAATCAGCTGGCCAATGAGCTGCTTACAGACGGATGAGGGTGGGTTTGGTCTGTATGTAGTTTAGCAAGAGTTCTGTAGGGCTCCTTAGCTACCTAAAGATTTACCCCAACAGTGTGGTAAGACCAATCAAACCCATAAAACCTTAAAAGACATATTTAAAGGATTAAAATAGTAAATATAAACTCAAGAAATCAGGTAATAATATCAAATAGTCATGATAAAGCCCTTTATTCTCAAATCATAGTTAATTTTCTTGATAATTTATTTCATATATAATTACACTTCACAGACTAGAGGTATAAAATATACAAGGAAGATTAAAAGGTATATATATAATTACAAGACAGATCTTACAACATAACAAGAATGGTCAACAAGGAATTAGAAATAATATAATGTTATAAAGCTAAAAACCATTCAGGAGGGAACAGAATAACATAACAACCAATCATAAAATCATCCAGAAGATCATATTAATTAATTAAGTAGATCATTATTAATTAATTACACAGCCACTCATCATTAATTTCACAACATGAAGATCATTAATCACACAGATGACATCATTAATAAACATAGCAGCAGAATATTGATTTCACAACAGTACATCATCAATTCCACAGCTGCACATCATTAATTTCACAGCTGTAAATCATTAATTTCATAGCATGACATCATCATGACATCATTAAATTAGCAGTATGAGGTCATTACCCAGTCAGACCAATCATTCTCATCAGTGAAGCTGTTTACCACCCTCACCAAAGATTTTGTCTATAAATAGAGGCCCTTTCTGGCTCATGTTTCACTTCCTTCCTCCCCATGTCTGCATCAGAGAAATAAGTAGAGATCTTATTTAGCATTCATCAACCCCCTTACATGCTAGCTACAGAATAGTAATTAGAGATATTACTTAGCTTTCATCAACCCTTATATATCAGATTCAGAATAGTAATAAGAGATATTACAAAAACCCTTACTCCTCACCCTTATATTGAACCCTGTTAAATAATAAGGAAATTATTTAACTCTCCTCAAACTCTCAACAGAAGACATTGAAGAAATAAAGACTCACTTTATTAAAGACCCAGAATTGAACCAGAGAACCCAGAAAGAATAGATTAAACCAGAATAAACCAGAAACCCTCAGATATCTCCTAACTCCAGAAGCTCTTGGCCATCCATTCCATCCACCCTTATAAACAACTCAACATCCTCAACAGGTAGTATCTTCACTAAGATAAATTTTAGAAATCTACCACACTATTATTTTTTTCTTAGTGTAACTCTCTCACAAGCTAGACAAGGAGGGCAGTCTCACCAACACCCATTTATTATTAATACTATTTATAGTTTTATTAATATTTATCCCCTCCAAGCTCTTCACTCATTAGCTTGAGCAGTTCCACAAGTGGTGTCCCAACAGTGGCAGATCTCTTTAGATAATTTAGCCTTCTACAAAAGATACTACATTCCTCATTACTATTTCATCTCATTCCTCACTACCATTTCAGCTCATTCCTCTTTACCATTTCATCTGATTCCTCATTACCATTTCATCTAATTTCCCATTTCTCATTTCTCAAAAACTTCCTCTAACAAACATCAACTTTATTTCTATCAACACCTTTTACCAATACTAAAAGTTAATCTTCTTTACATTTATATTAGAATACATTAGTTACCCAGTCACCTCATTTATACTAGTATACATTCATTTCCATTCACCTTCTTTAGTGGTCAACAGAGCCATTCATCATCTCAAGTTGTCAACAGACCCATTCACCTTCTCAAGTGGTCAACAGAACCATTTACCATCTCAAGTGGTCAACAGAACCATTCACCATCTCAACTGGTCAACAGAACCATTCACTCTCATTCACCTTCTCAAGCTGGACTTGAAGAGCAGAACTAGAAAAGCGGTCAACAAGGATTCAATAAAGACTTGGTTCAGCAACATCAATTCACAGGAATCATTTGATAATCTTCAGTATTGATAAACGATCAAGAGTATTTTTGCGACAGCAATGTTTGAATAGCAAGATCGAAGAGAAAGCTCAAGAAGATTGATGAGCATGAGAAAGGATCAAAGCACCGATGACTATCAAACTCCGTTAATGGAATGAAGCCTTTGCTTTTGGAAATCAACACTTTCTGATCGATTGAATGACGTCATAAGACCTTTAAATAAACAGTAGGACCGATCTGCCGATGACCTTAAAAGCATGCAAAAACGTTTGTTGAGACCTCAGGTTACCGTGGACCAATTCGCTGAAAGCACGCAAAAACGCTCGTTCAGATTTTTTTTTCCTTGAAATTCAAAACGGATGGATTAAGACTTGAGGTCTTTACATGCCGACGAATACCAATTTCCTTTGTATTTCAGCTTCGCCGGAGAGAGCTAGCTTTTGTTCTGTTTAGAGTCTACGGTTTCCTGCCGATGCACCAATCATGACGATTAGATGGTTGGACTAGCAAGTAATAGCATGCTGGAGTTTGGGTCTAGTGATCTCTCCATCAGAATCAAATTCAAGTACTCGACTCGGATCGATTCAGCGATGACTTGAAAACCGACTGGTTGTAGTTCTTTTTTTTTTTAGAAAAAACTTTTTGACTTGGAAATACGCAATCGGACCGATAAGTTGATGTCCTTAAAAGCACACTTCCACACTCGTTTAGATCCTTGTTTTCTTGGAATTCATTCGGATGGATCAAGACTTGAAGTCCCAATACGCAAACGAACACCACCCTCCTTTGCATTTCAGCTTCGCTGGCGGAAGCTAGCTTTTGTTTTTCAGAATCTATGATTTCCTGACGATGAACCGATTAAGATTATTAGGAATTCATCCAGCTACTTACACTCACTTGCCTTGGATTTCAAACAAGCGGATCGATTCGTTGGCATCCTTGAAAACCTTTTCAGAATTTAATAAAATTTCCTTGCGAATTTAAACTAGTTGGACCAATTAGCCGATGTCCTTAAAAAGCATGCGAGACGTTCGTTTGTTCGTTTAGATCGTTTGGTTACCATGGACCAAGGCGCCAAAGTCCTGAAAACCGCAATCGCTTAAGACCCCTGGCATTGCTGGATTGAGAAATTGAAGTTGATAAACGAACTACGCTTTGTTACTGATTC